TTAATGCACTGATTTGAATTATCTTACCCTCACAGGCTGCTTAAAAAACCTCAAAGTGCTCAATGTGAGCTTCAATAATTTGAAGTCAGTCCCTCCAGAACTGGGTGATTGTGAGAATCTAGAAAAACTGGATTTGTCTGGAAATATGGAAATAACAGATCTCCCATTTGAAGTAAGATAACAATCAATGTGTTTTTTTTTATTTGGCTTACAAAGTATTTTATTACAGTCTTCAAGTCTTTTCTTGACAGATTAAATCACATTCCTTGCAGTTTCTAGCAATAATGGTTTAGTGGTAATATCACTGAAAATGAAATTAAATGGGACCAAGCTACTTTGTTTTGTTTTTCAAGTGACTAAATTTTGCTTGTATGTGTTCTGATATACGAAGGAAGACACAATCCTCAAAAGGATTTGGAATAAGCAGAAGGCTGCTCATCCTTCTGACAGTCTCCTACTCAATGAGATTGAAAGCCACTAAAACTGCGTGTAGGTTACTGGGTAATGGTTCACTTAAACCCTGCAGAAAAAAATTGGATCTGTGCAAACAACTTTATGTAACAGCAAACACTGGAAGCAACATCCTGTTAGCATGATATAAAAGGTCAAAAAGGAAAACCTTGGCATTATCTATCGTGTTTCCACGTTTCTCTGGAGGCTGGAACTCAATTTACATTTGCAGTTGTCTGGGAAGGAGGCTACAAAAAGCTCTTCTGATTTAGTTTATAGAACTAGTTTTCCAGAATCAACGTGGCAAGGGCAGCTTTGGCAGCTGAATATGCAATTAAAGGAACACTTATCAAATGATTTAAAGTGCTGCAAAGTGTTTGGCCTTCAGTGTGCTCCATGTGGCTCATGCTATTCAGAACAATTGCATCAGTAGCCTTGCTAACATAAAGGGTGTCTGGTGTTTGAACCTCGGATGGACAAATGGCTGTAGCGATTGGTAGGTAACTATTTAATGAATTAAAATATATTAAATATATTAATGAATTAAAACATATTAAAATATTGAGTTGGTCTGAGCTGTATAAAGGGGCAAAACAGAAAGACAGTGGTAGGCTTGCCCCTCCTCCGCAGATATTGGGAGAAAACAGGTTCAGAAAACTCATGGTTTGAGACAAAACACAGTGAGATTGTTTACCATTTACTTTTGTAGGCAAAATGGGCTATACTTCAGGAAGATCACTATTTGTGAATATATATTTGAGTAGTAAGAAACAAATACACTAAAACATTGTCTTTCATTCCCTTTCTCCCAAGGGATTCCTGTGCCATTCTTGAGCAGTGCAGGGAGGCAGGGGAAGTTGCAGCCAGTACATGAAGTTAAATTTTTATTTGACTTTCAGATCCTTAAAAGTTTCTTCTGGGAAGATTAAGGAAGTGTATGAGAGCCACATCAGTATTCTCCAGTGTAACTTATTCAAAAGAAATAAAGGCAAACTGCAGCCCAGCAGAAATTATTTAAGTCTAATTTTGCCTTGCTTTTTTTTACCTATAATAATGGCCAGACAGACACTGATAACATATATGAAAATGAATTCAAACATGCAGGTAAACCTAAGCAGTGCATGCAAGTGTTTCCAGGGCTGAGTCCTGAGAAACCACCAAGAAACCTGGAATTCAAACCATGTCTGAATTCCATCAACAATTCGATTTTTGATGCATCCATAAATGATTATGGGATCATCAGAGACCTGAGACTGAATTACATCTTCAATAATCACTTTCCCTGTTCCCTTTCTACCCATTTTCTTTATGACAGTTGGAAAAAATACAGAAGTCTTGAAGCCCTTATTTTATTTGATTATTCAGTGTTTTGCTTTCTTAGGAAAAGAATTCTGGTGGTTTATGTGTTTTGGTGGTTTTTTTTGGTTTTTTTTTAAATAAAAACATAAAATATTACATGATGATCTAATTTAGGGGGAGAAATCTTAATGAGATAGATCATGTAACACAAGACTGTAGTTGCTGCTTGGAAATGGTAGAGGATGAATGCAAACTACTCACAAACCTGTGCAGTGTCATCAAATACCCATTTAGAACTGAAGTTCCTAATGGTGAAGGCAGCTACCATATAGGTATATAAATTTCTTCTGGCATATCAGTTGCTTCTGATCCTAAATTTTTCAGTCAACCACATAAGAAGTTCACAGGCTATGATGGTGTCTGTTAAGTCTGTGAATTTGTTTTATAAATAAGGGAAACTTCAGGAAAGACAAGATACTAAGCACCTTTATCCTGTACTACTTTTCAGGTAACTGCAGTTGTTAAGGAGGCTTCCAGCATGTGTACTGACTGTACTTCTTGTCTTTTTAACCTACCAATTTTTTTTTATTGTTTTCAATGAAGCCATTTCAAGATGAGGTATGCTCTGATTGAGATGCTCTAGCACAACTTAAATCTTGAGAATCTTCATTCTCTGTTAAATGAGGGTGTGTCCTCTCACCTTTTACTTCCTCAAGGCTTATGATTTCATACCATTCCACACTATGGAAGAGCAATCTGCTTGAATGTCTACTCCTCAATTTATTTTTGTCTTTTCTACTGTTGGATGTCTAACATTTTTAGATATTAAAGAGTTACAGTTAACATCAATATTTGATCAGTATTACTTGAAAGTAAGTCCTTTGGCAGAAAAAGTTTGTGGATCTGCTGTTGAATTCAAATCTATATTAGCCATATTTGTAGATTAATAACATCTTGTTCTGGACCTGAATGAAAATATAAATTGAAATAAAATGTAAATGTTAGAAAAGGCAACTGTCATGGTTTGAGATAGCCCCAAAAATCCAATTCCCTAGTCTAAGCCCCCTCCCACATCCCAACCTAATGTGGGATGATTTTTTCCAGACAAAACACACCAGACTCAAAGTGGGGAAAGAGAATATATCACAATGACTATACAAATAAATATTATAATACATTATACACATGATCACAACTATCTCTACCATGACATGTAGTATTTACAATGGATCAGATCTCTTCTCCCCTCCAAATAAAAGTCCAGGATGGAAAGAAGGACAGATCCCTTCTTCGGAGCAGCAGGATCTTCTACAGCAGCAGTCATCTGTCCTCTCCACATGCATGCAGCAGCTGATAGCTGGATCTCTGCCAGCACTCACAAGGGAGGCCTCCAAGACTCTCTCAGCCCCCTCGATGCAGGCAAAGGGGTCTTCTGTGGACTACGTCACCCTAGACAAGGTCGTTCCACCACATCATATCACGAGCACAGGGGGCTTCGTGACAGTCTGGTATCTCCAGGAGATTCAAACTCCTTGCAGGGCCTCTGTGCCCTGTCTCAGGCTGTGAGCTTCTTTGTAGCTTGCAGCAAGGGAGGGCCCCCAAGGCCAACCTCCCACACCGTCCTGGCTCAGCTCTCAGGATGACTGAGCTTCTCAGCTCCTCTCTCTCTCCGGTGCTGCATGTCCAAAACTCTTCTCCATAATAGGAGTCCATCTCCCTCTTTTCCAAGAGGGGTCTCAAAGGAGTTTGGGGGAGGTCTGGTACAGTTCTTACCCCCAAGAACTCTGTAGAACTCAGCTGCTGACTCTCTTTTCCTCGGGTCTCCTTCCAGGAGTTCTTTCTCTGGTGCTGCATGTCTCTGTTGCTCTGTCTTATCTCTTCTGGCTCTCTGCCACTGTTTCTCTGGTCAGTGCCAGCTGCTGCTCTGCGCCCATGGAGAAAAACATCTCCCGGCATAACTACAGGCACCAAGCCCAGCTTTATGCTGTTCCAGGTCCCCGCAGGCCCCTGCTGGGGCTGGGGGCCAAAGCCCCCCTATGGGGCTCTGAGCCCCTTCCTCGTGGCTCTACAACATGGCCACCTCTCCCACAACAACCAAAACTACAACTCGTCTCTTCTGGTGCTTGTGGAATGTTTACATTTTGCAGGAGCGCCCATTGGGCAAAAGTTCAAAACATCCAGGGGTTTACACCCCTTGGGGTCTATCACTTTTCTTAGCCTCTGGGGGAAAACAAGATTCAAACCACTACAGCAACCTCCATGACGTTACATTTGTACAGCCAGTTTCTAACAGATACTTCTCAACCTCAGTAACCAGATTTAGCAGAGGAGGGTACACTGAGCGGCTTAGGGCACAATCCTCCCTGATACGACACATGGCTCATAAAATTCTTCTTAGATGGAGGTGCACTTGTTCTTCTGGCTAAGATGCTCATGAGAGGCATGCCTTGCATGTTATCCAGTCCATCTCCTAGTGCAGTGTGATTATACTGGATACCACATATCAGTAGCTGCAGAGAGAAGGGGATTGATGGATGAATTCATTTGCAAATTTCTTGTATGTTTTGTGTGTGAATTTAAGAATTAGTATGATTCTGGTATTTGTATTTTAGCTGTTGGACAGGGATTCTATTAATATTTTCATGCATGCTGTGCAATAAATTTGTTTTTCCAGGAATAAAATCTGTATTATAAATAATGCATTTTCTCATACAAGTATGTAGAAAAACTACTGTGACCTTACTTTTAGGTATGCTTTCTTTAGAAAGTATTAGTTTCTATGCTTATTTACCGAATCACCCAATTAAATTCTCCTGTGTGTGATATTTCAAAGAGTCAGTTTTACTGTGGTTTTGTTTTTCTGCCAATAATGTTGCTGCAGCCAAGAGTATCTATAGATGTCACCCAAAGGAACTTGGGTGAGAAGAGAGGGAAGATGAAGAAGTTTTCATTTCTTCTCTCTGTTCCATCTGGTGCAGCACACGCTGTCAGCCACAGGACAGACAAGTCATTCCATGCTACCAGCAACAAGACAGAAATGCTTACAGGAGAGGTTCTGATACAGAAAATAAATTAAAAGGAAGTTTTTTCAAAGTTATTCTGCTTTGAACAGTGTTCAGTACCACATCTGAGCAGTCCCAGTGAGTGATCTGAATGTTTTCTGAACCATTTGTGAGGTCTGGGTAGTGCGAAAGGAAGGAATCAGAGACTGTTACAGCATATGAATACTTTGTCAATCAAAGTGTATATGTATGTATACTTGCATTTTCATGTCAGTCCTATCTAAACTGATCTTTGAAGCTCAGAGAAATGAGAAGCTTGTGCTTTCTGGCTATTTTAGCGCGCACGGTTTCCAAAAGATCAAATTAAATCTTGTTTCGTATTTCTGATGTAAAGAAAGTTTCAGCTAAGTCCTGAGATAAG